GCAGAGCTTCCAGGTACCTCATGAAAGTGACGCTGACAACTGGGTACCGCCTCCTCCACCCTATACGCGCGTGCCAGATGCACCTCTCCCTGATCATTTGCGAAGGACTCTGCTACCCTCCAGGACGGAGCCGATCACCCGGGTTGGCGAACCTCTGGCCGAAGTCCAGCGCTCGCAAACCAGCCGTCTAGAAAACATGGTCGAAGAATCGTCCTCTCGAGTGTCACTACACAGATTGAACAGCATCGCGAGCTCGAGGCTTGCTTCTCGCCTAATGCGAAACAGCACCAGAGAACCCGTATCTTCTGAACGAGCGCGCGGGCAAAGCACATTCATGCGCAGGAGAAAAAGTTCAGCCACCGGCGCTCCGCAAATATTCGAGGACGCGAATGGACTCGCACCGCTGGCCCTGGCCACTCCGTCTCAAGAACCCGTCGAGCAGCATATACACTTCCAACTGGAGAGCATAGCCGACTATCCAGCGCGGCCTGACCGATCTGTGCCGCTCCTCTCCACCGACCCTTCTCTACCGCCATCAAATTCCCAAGCCAACTACCCCCATCAGTCCCCCGAGCAGCCTACCATGCATGCCCGGATCGACGTTCCGGGAGCCATTCCCGCCACGCAGGAACTCGGCAACACGCGCCAGTACTCCTTCTCCTCTCCCAACCTCCAAGTCCCATCGACCCTGCAGTATGATGCTCCAGAAGTCCTCGAAGAGAGTCAGATGCGCTCCGGCTACCCTCACCAGATGGGTGACCGCCGCCCGCAATCCCAGGAGCTCCCTCTACCGATGACAGGGGGCAGCATTCAACCCCTTCACCACCGGGCCTCGACGGATCCCACGCTATCCGCCAGCTCCCAAGCGGCCGCCCATGACCTGTGGCGGAGACGCATCGAGGAGTGGAATGAACAAACTATCTACGAGAGGAGCAAACGACGAACCAAGTGTATTGTGATGTAGCAGGCCTGGTTTTTTTTGGTTAATCATCAGATTTCGACTCGATTTGGTTTTTTTGGGGTTGCATCATTGGTTTCAAAGATATGGAGTGTATATTGATAGGAACAGGAACATATTTGGGATTGTAGAGCGATGGCGTCGTCTTCTTTGTTTTAGAGTCTGGAACGATCTATATGTTACAGGTAAGAAGTTGGCTTCTTGTATACTCAGACGCATCAGGAGGGCTGGGCTCGACTCAGTCTCGTGTGATTGGTATCTAAATGTCTCATTCATATTTCAGCATCTGCGAAACATGTCTATATGTTGGGTGGCTAAATTTGAGATGTTGAAAGCGAACAATTAGATACTGATCGGTACCCTCGTGCACGAGCTTCGAAATAAAAGCATGGATCAACACCACAAACATCAGACTAACTGCCTCCGCCCCCTCCACCACAACCTCCGCCTCCGCCTCCGCCCCCGCAACCACCACCACCGCCGCCGCCGCAGCCAGCCCCTGCACCACCACCACAACCCCCAACACCACCGCACCCACCCCCAGCACAACCCCCGGAGCAATTTCCCCCCATCCCTCCACAGCTGCCCGCCGCAACCCCACCTCCACATGTCCCCGCCGCACAGTTACCATGCACTCCTTCCACGAAGCTCATACAGCTTGGATTCGCCACGTACGCATCCGCATGCACCCCAGGGTCACACGTATACGGCGCATAGAAGGGCACAAAGACCGGATAGCCCCACAACAGAGGGTAGTAGCCATAGACGGGGTCCACCGCCGCGCCCCCGGATTTGTCCTTGTTGGCGGCCGCCTTCTCGTCTTTGGACTTGCGCTTCTCGGCCCGGCGGCGCGCCTTCTCGTAGTCGTGGCGGAGTTTCAGGAACTTGACTTCGCGAGGATCGAGACCGCGGGTGTTGTTGTTGTTGTTGCTAGGGGTGGTCTGCGGACGAACGGCGTTGTGGGCGGAGATGTGCGGGTTCTTGTCGGGGTCGGAGGAAACGTCATCGCGGTCGTGGAGTTTGGCCGCCGCCTGGCGGGCGCGGGAGGTAGAGGAGAAGAACGGGATGGCGATGGGGGAGTCCGCGGCGACGCGAACGGCCTCGCAGTACCAGCAGGTGCATTCGCTATAGATCCCGCCGTCGGTGAGCTTCTTGTACGCCTTGCTGGTCCATTCGAAGCCGTCGGTGAGCTTGGTCTCGTCGACTTTGTCGTCATGGTCGATGAGGATGGCGAGGCTACTGTTGCCGCCGTCCTCGCGCGTGCGGTGGGTGGAGAAGGCAAAGTAGCGGGCGGGCGCGAGCTGGTGGGTGTGCCACGCGAGGTCGACGTCGAGGGTCGGGACGGCCATGCGCCGCGGGTTCTGCGACATGATCCGGAAGAAGACGTGGTACTTCTTGATCAGGCGATCCATGGTGGCCGTGAGGGTCGGCGAGTGCAGCCAGTCGATGCGATCCATCTTCTGAATGAAGGTGCCCTGGCGGACGACGGCCCCGACGAGATCGAGCGCCAAGGGCGAGCTGTTGTCCCAGTAGTGCGACATCATGCGGCGGTACGCGACCTTTTCCTCCGGGTGGAGAGTGAGTTGCATGCTGCCGGGGTTGGCCTTGTACATGACGTCCTTCTGCTTCATTTTCGCAGCGAGGTAATCGTTGACCGTCTTCATAGTCAGGTTCTTGCCTCGATTCCAGCGGGGGTAGGCATGACTGAGGACGTCGGGGCCAACGACCTCTAGAAAGCGGTTGGGGAAATTGAACTGTTGTCTTCGTCGTCTGGGATCGCTGGCCGGCTCCGGGACTCCCCGAAGGTTGTAATAGGTGCCTGGCATCGGGAGGTCTTTGTGCAATAGTAAGTTGATGTCCCCGCAGAATTTAGCGATCTTCAGACTTTCGTGATTAATGTTATAGGAGCAGTGAGGACATGAATGGCGAAAATCCTTGTCTGCGAACCCATGCCAGCGCTCAAATGCGTCATCTAGCGTAAGAAGCATGCCCCCGTCCGTCCAAGGGACAAGGGTATGCTTTCCGCAGCCGGGGCAGTCTAACGACTTCTCAGACGTATCCACAAGATTGTCCCAAGGGGAATTTGTCTTGCGAAGAAATGTCTCCTTTGCCTTCGGCCCTGCATCATAGTCGAGGGTCACATTGTCAATGCAAGCGTTAACAGCCTCCCAAGGCAGGCCACTGGCCCAGAAGCTCATCTTTCCGTGCCGTATGCAGTCCTCGAGAAAAGCACGTGGGTTCAGCATATGCGCATGCCATACCATCAGCACGTCTAGAATGGTTAGTGATCGGTCCCAAGCATGCACCGCAACTCAACTCACCGAGAGGAGGCATTTCGTCTTGAGACCATTTCGTTGGCTCGTCAGAGGTCGTGATCTTCTCGTAGCTGGTATGCTTGAGGGTACTGAGTTTGGGCTGTGCGCGAGAAGCAGGAGCGCACAACGTCCACCAGGCTGCATATCGGTCCACTGCTCGGGTGGTATAAACCGCCCACCGCTTCTCCTTTACTCGAGCCCACGCTTCATTGGCCTCCTTGGAGTCTGGATGGAATAGCTCTGGGTCAGGATCTTGGATACCGAAGATTCCGCGAGTGCTGGCTACGCTGTCACGCAAATCGGCCAGTGCTGCGAGCAGCTTGAGGTGAGCGGCACACTGGTCAGATGTGACTGTTGTGTATTGAGATGGACCAGCGTCCCGAGAAAGGTCTAAGGGAGGTAATGCCAACTGCGACTGGTCGATCTGATTGTATGCAGGTGGTTGATCTCCCCCAGTCTCGGTTTCTTTAGCCATCTTGGCAGACATAGATTATATAGGATTTGGCTGCATTCCACGTATGAGATATAGAATTGTGAATGACAGGACTCAGAACTAATGCCGTAGCGGAACAATCTTCCTTTATATTGTCATGTGTAAGTCAGTGTTGCTCGAAGGATGTCTGACATAATTGGAATGGAGACAGAATGATCGGCTAGCAATGCCACCGGGGCAATGACGCGGGGCAACCACCGATTCCCCAACAGGGAAAGAACAGTACCCTTTGTCTGTAGTCTGACAGGCACGGAAGAGACCGAACTGTGGGTGAGCACTGAGCAGACCCTGAACTGCTTGGTGTGACTGGGTACGTTCTAAGACAGTGGCAGAGGCCGGCGTCGGGCACCTCGTTAGAGCAGAAGGGTCAACCCCGTCTCTAGACGAACCTCGGGGATGACAGAGGGCCGTGCTGCAGTACAAGGCTTAATTGGCGCTAGGGTACCCTAAGTTCGCCTTGTTGGCAGTGGTTCTAGTGAGTGGAACATCGAGGCGAAGCGTAAGCCTCACAATACGAAGTGGATGTGCAGTCGGATGTGATGGATGCTTCATTTCTGGGATCAGAATACGACAGCCTGTGATTGACCTCGACTGGAAGACAATCCAGACAGAATGCAGGTGGCAGTGTCTATCAATGCGTATCGTTGGGAAGACACGGATTCATCTTGATGGGAGCGACCTCATCTGATCCGCTTGTAAGCAGAGCCAATGGACATTTGTCGGGCGACCGCCGGAACTAGCATGGTGGGGCAGCCTGTGGTCTGTGGTATGGTCTGTGACGGGGGAATAGACCCCTATATACCTTGTGGCTTTTAGGAAGTTGATGTTAGAGACTGTGTAATGTGATTGCAATTGTATGTACACCGTGTAGGAAGTACAGTTGAGATGGTGTAGTGAAGTAGTTGATTAGTAGTGTAGTTGAGTAGGTAGCACGTACGCGATCATGATCCATGCGGTGACTGGTGAGAAGCACAGACTGACTGCCCAGTGTTTGGGTTGTGGGGCGGTGGACGGTTCGGTGGACGGCTGATGGGTCTGAGCTGACTTATCCGTGACTAATCACTGGTCCAATGCACATGTCACGTGTCATCAGCCAACCGCCGACTGCACGTGAGAGAGCGAGATCGGACAGCTTCTCCTCGCAGGACCCCCGCCGCCGAGTGTGATTCCTCCACCACTTAATTTCAGGGTCTGCAAACACGGTGCAAGCCGGTGGGTAAAAGTTTTTTTGACTCATCGCTAATTCGTTCTCCCTGCTTGCTATATTGGCACGTGGTCTTTATTATTGCCCAGTGCAACTGTGATTTTGGACCTGTTATTTTTTTTAGCCTTTTTTTTTTCTCCGCCATTCCCTCTTATACTGTCCCAGCGTTGATCAGCCTTGCACGCAACCAGTCTGGATTCCCTCGAAGGATCGCCCAGCGAAATCGGAGGCAAGGGTGTGCAGGGCAACAATCTGGACCCAAGCGCAAGGAAGAATGCTTCGGCTGCCTCCAGCCCCGTAATGGGAGGTGCCGACCATCCATCTGTCTCACCTGCTGTCGGGTCCGATGGCGGGGGACCTGTCAGGAAACGTACTGTTGCTGCCGCGGGCTTGGACAGCTCGCCCGCCGCCAGCATCGACGAGGTGGAAGACCTCGACGCCCGTGATGAGAAGAAGCGACAGCCTGTCAAGCGGGCTTGCAATGAGTGTCGCCAGCAGAAGGTATGCCGCGTGCCCCGTCTCGTCCAACGGGGCTTCCGCTAACGTGGATTGTTATCCTTGTAGCTCCGATGCGATGTAATCCAAGATCCGTGGAGCGACTGCTCCCGATGCCGTCGCCTGAAACTGGATTGCAAGATCGAATCCAATTTCAAACGTGTCGGGAAGCGCAGTCGCAACGCGGAGATGGAGCGTGAGATCATCGAGCTCCGGAAGCAGATCGCGACTGTGCAGGCGACTGGGAGCACGCCACAGCAGACCCCGACATCCTTGCCCACGGTGCAAACTCCGAAACAAGAGACTCCCAGCCAGGTGGGCTCGGCTGGTGTCTACCACACGCCGTCAGCCATGTCTACTGACCAGTACATGGGCTCGCACGAAGCTGTCGCATCCCTGCTGGACTTGCGATCGGGCTTCGATGGCAGTGGCTACATGCGAAATGGCACTCATCATTTTAAGAGGATTGAGGATGTGGCTGTGGTTCCGGAGAGAGTGACAGAGCTGTTCAATCTGTAAGTGTACGCCGTCGGCCCTTGTTACGGCACGTCTAACGAGACTAGTTTTTTCACATTCTATCACCCGTTTCTTCCGTTCCTCAGTCGGGAGCAGTCGCCAGATGAATACTATTCTGCATCGCCTCTACTTTTCTGGACAATCATCAGTGTCGGCGCCCGACGGTATCAATCGGACACCCATCTCCTCAATTCTCTGGCTGGCCCGGTGACACGGCTGGTATGGAGTACGCTAGCGGACATCCCACAGAGCTACCATGTAGTCAAAGCATTGTGCTTGCTATGCACGTGGCCATTCCCTACGAGCAGCACCTCCACAGATCCTACATTCATGCTGTGCGGAATGATGGTGCAGGTTGCCATGCAGCTTGGTCTGCATCGACCGTCACACACACAGGATTTCAGCAAGTTTCGGGTGGAGCTCATCGAAGAGGAGCTTCGAGATAAGGTCCGAACCTGGGCGGTTTGCAACATAGTCGCGCAGAGGTATTTTGATTGAAAACTGAGGATCGAATGAACCAACAAGCTAATCAATTTCGCGCAGAGTTGCTACTGGCTACGGTCAACCGCCATCAACCCTATATGATTGGACACTGTCTTCGAACGAGTCCATGGATCCCAACTTCAAGTTGCCGGAGGACATGAAACCCCGACTGGAGATCGAAAAGTTCTGCGACAAGATCACCAGGTCACTTTACAAAAATCGCCGGGACCCTGTCGGGCTTTGCAGTGATAAGGAGAGATCGGCGTTGATCTCATTTCTTTCTCGGGACTTTGACGAGTTGGAAAGCCAACTTAAGCCGCAAAGAGACTGTAAGGCCCTAAATCTGGTCGCATGGAAGACCTTCTAACCTATGCAGGTATCACTGATCTGTTCCTGCGTGCATCGAACCTCCATCTCCACCTGTCGGCTTTCTTCGACGATACTACGGCCAAGAATTACCGAGAACGCCTTCTCTCGCTCTACGTTGCCGCCACTACTTTCCTAGAGGCAGCAATGACGTTGGAGACTGAAGTTGGGCCCGTGCTCTCCTACACCCCGTACTATGTGTATCAGATGATGGTTGCGGGAGGTTGCACTCTATTGAAACTCTGCAAGAGCTTCTTTGCGGCCCATATCGACATGGATTATGCCAAGAACCTCTTCAACCGGACCATTTGGGCCATTCGAGGGGTATCGGTGTCCAGCAACGATCTCCCCGAGCGACTGGCGGAAGTCCTGGCGCAGATGTGGCGGCTGGGAAATGCGCCGACGCCCAAGTTCGGGCCTGACGGCAGTGAGATCGACGACTCCCTGATGTTGAAGGTACGATGCCGGATGAGCATGTCTCTCCTGTTCGACTCTGTGTGGCGGTGGCGAGAAGATGCGCGGACCAAGGGGCGTAATATCGAAGGTATGTTTCACGGACTCGCCGTCGAGTGACTCAGAGCTGACCCGTCTCGCAGCGTGCCTCAAAAACCCGACCAACCCAGATTCCAACGCCGAATCGTCGGCCTCGTCAACCGGACCGACGCGCACCTCGACGGCGACGCCCGGGGTGGGCGGTGCGGATCCCAGTCTGGCGCCTGCGCCTTTGCTCCCGCAGACGGGCATCAGCGTGCCGCCCAGCGGGGCAGTGGGGGCATTGCCCAGCGGATTCATCGAGCCGAACTATGAAGTTTTCGATCCATTGAACTGGCTTCTGGATGGATTGGTCGACCTGCCATATTCCTATTCCACGATATCCGGGATGGAGTCGCAAGGGATGGCCTAGTGTATGGGTGTTGGTGCTACAATTTTATGACCTTTTCTTTTTCATGTGTACCATAATTAGCGGGATGACGATGACAAGGTTGTCTACTGAGACAAAGTTCGATGGCGTTGCCGTTGTTGCTGCTTCTTGAATCAAGAGATACCTGTTTTTACAACGATGAACGCATTCATTGATGCTTGATTTGACGGGCAATGAGGGGTTGCTGTATATATTATCGTCGGACAATATGCCAGTTTCCAGTATGATTTAGAATCTGAATTCCCTCGGACGCCATTGTCTCTGGACCAGCTTACCGGATGCAATGTGCTCGGCAGTCGACAGTGCACAGTATAAGATCACGTGTCTACGTCCCAACCTCTTAACTTACGCCATCAATAACCAACCCCCCCCCCC